CTGGCAGGCCCTCAGTGGTTTGGTTGAAAGGCCAAAGGGCGTCCTCATTCTCTTGAGCCTCTATTTTTTGACATTGCTTTTCTATATCAAGAATTGAAGTTTGTGCATAGGTGACACGGCATTCTTATTGGCAGTGACTTTAAAACCATTTAAAATCTACACAACACATTAGAATTACCACATATCTTGACCCTTGCAGTCCTGTTGTGAAAAGCATTTCTTCAACTTCGCTCATTCCAAAACTTTATTGCATCAATATGAGAATAAAGAGAGAAAACCTCATGTTTCAGTCAGATGGTTAAAAATAGGGAGGAAAGGTTTTTGGTTGATGATTTGTCATTCTGCATGTGTTGTGCAAAAAAAAAAAGTATATATGTTTCCTTGACAAAAACTTCATTAAGCAGAAAATATGTGCATATTTTCTGCCAAAAATGTGGAAAATTCAGTATCTTAAGGCTAAATCAAGGTATTTTAATGAGGTGTTTGGAGAGGGAGAGAGGTAAAGTGACTTGTTTCTACTTGAGAAGAGCAACACCTTTTAGAAAAATGTTAATTAATGCAATATTGACTTGAGATGTAATACAAGGAGAGGAGGGCTCAGGCTTTAAAAATGTGCTTGTTATCATGATAACCCTCTTAAATCGAAGGTTATCCTTTGAAATATCTAATACATGTATGGATGTATCTGTCCGTACTTAACACTGGCAAAACTGTACTGAGCACTGTGTTAGGTCAGGCACAGGCTGCTGAAATACACACTCTGGTTGCTATCAGGAGCTTGGCTCTTGTGTGCCATAAATGTGCTGGGTGTTGTGGTGGTGACATGGAAAGGCAGGGCCAGGACAGGGAGGGGTAATAGTGCAGAGCAAGGTTGGAGCAACCAGTGGATGTAGGGACTGGGAGCAGGACATGGGGATGTGACCACAAATATGCCTGTGCAGAGCCTGGAAGGCGAAGTCAAGGAGCTTACCCTCGAGGCAGAAGCAGAAAGGGAGGCAGCAAAGGTAATGTAGGCAGAATGAAGGGTGAGTGTTTGGGTTGCAGCATTTTCAGATGGCTGGTGAGAAGGAAGTCAATAGTTGGAAGCCCCAGAGTGAGTGCCTGGCCTTTGTCTCCAGAGACTTGTATCAGGAAGAAGACTGCACAGGGAAGTTAGGGCTGGAGTTGAGGTTAAAAAAATTAAAATTTCTATCGAGTTAGAATTCACTGATGTCTGATTGCACAGCAAAGGTGGGAAGTGAGTGATGATTGCTGGACTTGTACCCAGCTGAATAGAAGCCCTGGGGTGTGGGAGCTTTTAAAGGTGTTTTTTCTCCTCATGTATGTATATACTCAGCAACATTTCTGAGGGAGTTGCACTAATTAACTCTTCTCTCCACCTCCACACTCTTAAATCTGTGCTGAGTACAGCAGCATCTATCAGAGGGGGATGTATGGGGCACAAGGTCCTTTCTAGCCAGGCCAGGCAGCTGTTCTGGGCTGTGAAGCACATGTTTGAGCCTGAATCTTAGTCATTCACTGTGAGCTGTGTGGATAGCCAGCAATGGCCAGCTTCTTTATCTGGGAAACTCCTGGTGAGGTAGAAACACTTACTCTAGATGGGTTCCTGTCCAGCAACCCATAGCCAGGGCATGCTGGAATAATCCTTCTGTGTAAATGTTTCTTTTCTTTATTCTTTCAAGTGCTCGCTGACCTCATTTATGTAGTATTGCACAGGGTACATCTGGTTTTGGTTGTTTCATGACTCAGTGTTGCAGTTTGAGAAGGCAGTGCTGTGATTTAAAGCATTGTGTCAGGACAGTGATATACAGCTGCCTGTGACCCAAATGTTGTTGCTGTTTGGGCTCTGCTCCTGCCCTGGGGGGTGCTGAGGGCTCTGTGACAGAGCCTGGCTGAATGCAGAGCTGTTCCTGGCTTTTTCATCCCCTCTAGCCTGTGTCCTCCTTGTGCTCAAACACACCTGTCCCCACTGTCAAATATTCCTGCCTGGCTGTAGTGATTGCTTCCCACTGGAACCTCTTGAGCTGTGAGTTCTGTTTTACCCATTGAGCCTTTTCTTTCACTCTAGCCCCTTTATGAATTTGTGTTGCTGGGAGTAGATGCACTGTTTTATCCACTCCAAAGGAATTTGTGTGGGTCACTGGGAGAATATGATGCAGGATGAGCTGCAGTCAGAATTGTTTTCTCTGATGCTTGCTTAGTTTTTATACTTTTCTGTTGTGTGAGTTCACATACACTGCCCAGAAACCTTTTCTCAGGCAGGTGCATTTTGGTGTTTATCCGGGTTGCAACATCTATCTCAGTGGTGCTAAAAATACTCAGGTAACTCTCTTGCAGTTTTTTTGACAGAAAAGTTAATGATGATAAGATGAATGAGAGAGTATATATTTTTTTCTCCTGCATTTTTTTTCACTGTAAAATCTTAAGAGTTGCCCACACCCTTCTCAGCTACATGTCTGTCTATCAAAGATAATACATGTCAGAATCTTCCACAGAGGAATACCTTTGAATGGGAGCTGAGGAAGTCTGCTTAAAGGTGTCACTAACTGTTCAAACGATACTCTCATCAGTTTCAGGATGGATTGTCAATTTATGTGCTGTCTAGCAGTTATATTATGGTTCAACAGCATGAAAAACACTTTTTAGAATGTGTTAATTTATAATAATTTGGTTTAAGGCAGAAACACTTAGTGGAAATTTGCTTGCATTAAGTTACTACTTTAACTTAAATAACTAGGAGCTAGAGAAGGAGTGAAACTAGACTGGAATATAAAACATATTTGCTTAAGACCCATGTAATGATTAAAAGTGAGGAAATAAGGAAGCTAGTGTAATGAATATTAATGCTTCACTCTGCTGTTTTACACTCCCTGTCTTCCACTGGTTTCCTTTGAGTTACTTGATAGTGCATTTTTCATCAACAAATGTATGCTTGTTTTAAAGTGATGTCTTTTGACATATGAAAAATCACAACAATTAATGACTTGTGAGTTTTGTAGAGCATGAGATTAATGACATTTTAACAGACAGTGTTTGATACCCAGATGCAATGCTTGCCTAGCTAAAATTTTAGGAGGTGAAAGCTACCATCTGACAGTATTCTCAGAGATACACCACAAGTACCTACCCATTGCATATTTGCTGATCAGAAACACAGAAAATAGTTTTTTTCCCCCAAGGAGAGTGCAAATTCCAACACAAGTAAACTCCAAATGAAACAATTATTTAATATTTAGCATTGTGGGAGAGCAGAGTCACTTCTATATATCATTATCTATGGGAGCAGCAAGGTATGCTCTCACAGCTTCATGGAAAATTGTGACATGGGGGAATTTGATCAAACAAATGAATGTGTACTAACTTTTAGGTGGTCCTAAAAAAAATCACCTTTTTGTAGCAATATGATGCATCATGCCAACATTTTGTGTCTTCTTTTCATTCTGTTTGTTCCTTCCATAATTTTTAGGATAATGATTGATATTAATCAGCACATGCCCAGAAAAAGAGAGGTTTTTTTTGGGAACAAAAGTAGGGTTTTTTGTGATTTTCTACCTGGAAAGATAAATCCAGAATGTCAGCTTTTATAGCATCATTGTGCTGTGCTGTATCCCAGCATTCAGGCCAGTTTGCCAGCATTTCTCAGAGACATTTGTCCTGCAAGGTCTAACTTTACTTCAGGGGATGTGATTGTGAAGAGGCAGTGTTTTCATGGTTCCTGGGCTAGGTATCCAGTGTTGTTAGTGAAATCTAATTTTTAACATGCTGCTGCAGAAATTGATACTGAAGAATTTCTAAGATATGCTTTTGTGGCTTAGTTACTCTGTTATAACTAATCTCAAAGGATAACATTTGGGCATGTGGAAGGTGCAGAACCTCTGCCAGATTTTCAAGAAAAATAGGTGAACTGCCTTTATCATGATCAAATTCCTTAACAATAAAGCTAATGAATCCAACCAGACATTAATTTTCACAGGTTATTCCCTTATCCTTATCTCCTGCTAAAGGCTCTCCAAGGTCAACTTCCATCCCACAGGTTGATGCTGAGAATTCTGGCTCTGTGCTGCTGCTCTGTTTTTGCAGATGCAGCTGGAATGGCTGTGAGTGCAGCATGCCAGTTTTTTAGGCCCAAATCCTTCTTTGTCCCCATAACTTTATCAGAGGCAGAGGGTGTTTGGGGAGAATGCAGGGAGCTGGACTGCAGTGTAAGGTCAGTGACACTGGTGCTGCCAAAGCTTGGGAATGGCTGAGAGCAGTCAGGACATGAGGAGAGCTGCCACTGCTTGTGGTTTAGCTGGGCTGGGTGATGGAGCTGGAGGGTTTGTTAAGAAGAGAGTAAGAAAGCTCTTCAGAGTGTTTTTAACTGAGATTAGCTCCACTGATGCCCTTTATAACTGCTTCAGCACCACTGGAGAGATGTTTTTTGGGTCCGAGATAAGTTTGTCTGCATATCTATGGCATCTGCTTCTGTATTGTTCTAGACATACTGGGGTTGACAGAATTCCATTAATTTCAGAAGTGAAGGCTCAGGCAGCTTGTCAGAATGTGTTATCTGCTTTTCTTGGGTGACCTCTGGCATATGGAAGTTTTCTGTTTGTTGGTGGAACCAAGTGATGACATTCCTCTGTGGGTAGTGAAGGGCTTATTTCTCCTTTATCGTTTCCATTTGGAGTTTTTTAATCTTGCTTGATTGAAAGAACATTGAAAGACTAAATATTACATTATAAAATTATTTAAATATGATCTATTTTTTTCTTTCCCCTGAATAGTCAATGCATCTTCACCAAATTTTTGCCCAGAAGTATGTCCAGAGCATTGTAAAATAGCAGCAAATGCATTGACTACCACTAATAAGGTGATTGACTTCTTTCCTGGAAAACAGTTTCTGTGTTCTCATTCATGTTATAAATTAATTCTGGCAATAATAAATGCATATTGTTAACACCTCAACACTTTCTATGTAGTGTATTTGTAGTTAATTTGTTTTGTTTTGTTTTAAACAGGATTTATCTGGGGAAGGCTACAGAGACACTATTGGTGATGAACACTTTCATCTAGAAGGTATTTAAAGAACAACATTTTTTGGTTAATATAAAGGAGTATTGGAATAAGTTAGTGAATAAATAAGTGTGAGAATGCATATTTAGAGTGCAGTTCTTGATCTACCGATGTGTCATTTGCCTGAAAAAACTGTTAAGATGGAAGTAGGGTATTATTTCTGTATCTACTACTAGTTGTGTTGGAAAAAGTCACCCAGCTGAATCACAGAGACCAAGTGTTTTAATTCAGGGTCTCACCATTTTCTCCAGGTACTTCTCCTGACATTGGTAGGAGTGATGGATGTCACTGTCCCTGGCAGAGGTGGCAGATGAGTGAAACTGTTAGCTCTGGGTTGTGTGGGACACTGCACTCCCTTCTGGCTTACACAAACCAGCCTTAGAAACTCCCACGTTAATTCCTAGTAATGACTGGAGACTCTTACTCAACACATTTTTCTTGAATATGAATGGAATCATTATTGTCTCAGACAGTTTCTCTTTCCATCTCATCTCCTCCTCTGTGATCAGGCTGTTGAGATGGAATCACTGTTGTGGTGGGAAGGACATTGGTACCTGGAGTGTGGATGCTGCATTCTGCCAGGGAACACATCCAGGGTATCTTGGGCTTCAGGGACAAGGGGGGGCTCTGAATGCAGGAGATTAATTTGTTGCTCATTCCTTTCAAGGAAATGAGACTTCAGAAACCCTCTAATATAGCAAGAGGTTGCATGGGCTGTGTGCTGGATTTATATTATACACTAGTGGAAACAGTATGCCCAGTTTATTTAAAGAATGAACCATGTCAGGCTTAATCTGGAAATTTCTATACTTTGATAATCCAATCATTTGTTTCTGGTATTAGAAGCTTTTGTATAACCAGAACATGGATTCTCTGTTAAGAATGTCTGCCTTCCAGTTCCTTACCTGTGCCATGTGTTAATGCACTGTGAGTCTTGGATTACAAGTTTCTCTCATCTCTGTAGTTTACAAAAACTGCATGTCTCATATGTGCCATAACAGGAATTTTGTCTGGTGCTTGTAAGCTACTGTTAATCACAAAGGCAAACTATACTTGCCATGATGGAGACAGTGTTTGTTGAGTGGTTTTGTATTTAACTTCACCACAGTTTTCCAATCTTCCCTTACTAGGATATAGGGTGGGATTTTAATTTTAAAATTATAGGAGAAACTACTTCAGACAGGATATTAAATGTCAGCAAGGTGAATAATTTCATTTTCTTTGTCTCATTCTATCTTTCCTTGCCTCTAATTATTTTTCTTTGTTGTGTAGCATTATCTTGCATAGCAAACATAATGTTCAATATGTAATATTTTCGAACTAGTCAGCAGCAAGATTCTTTTTATTAGAATGTAAAGCCTTTTAGGTAACTGTAATTTCAGTCTTTCAGCAGTTTCACATGATTGCTTCTGATGAGTCTCCTTTGTTATGAGGTAGCTGGGTAGTGAAGACCAGATTTAAATACCAGCAGTGGTCGATCCTTTGTGTGCTGTCACCATGGAAGAGCTGTTTTGTGGCATCTTTCCAGCTGGGAGGAAGATGACTGTTCCCACCCTGTGCTTAGGCAATGCATGCAAGTTGTCAAGGCTTGCTCCTCATCCCTTCTGCTCTCTGATCTCCAGGCTGTGCTTTCCATGCTGGGGACAGTGTTAACCATTTCCTATTTCATTCAGATATTGAAAATCTTATAATTATCAGACAATACAGCAATCACTGTGTTAAAGCATCTTTTTGTGTAACTTTTTATCATCATACTTTAATGATTGTGCTAGTACTAGCACAAAATTGTGGTATTAGATAAAGTGAAGCTGAAACAGGATTTGAGATCTTTGTTAGGGCACACCTTGGATTCTTAGGTACAAGATGGCAACTGTGGTACCTCTTCTCTGCATAGAAATGTTTCTGTGGGAAAATGTGATTAGTATTCTAGAACATGGATTGATCTTTCCATCTAAAATAGTTGTCCTGCCTCTATTTTGCTTCCTTGTGGTCTTTACAAATGTACTGGTATAACACGTGCTGCATGAATATATTCTCATGTGTCATGAGATAAGAGCTTCAGAGACAGGGATCTATAACCCAGGAAATGGTTGGTTAGACTAAGCTCAGAGAGGACAATGGCAAATGCCATGCTCTACCAAATACCATGCACCAGTGAACTGTATTCTGTCTTTATAAATACATGGTAGGGCTGAAAAGGAAACATTTCTTGGATTTGCAAAAAAAGCACAAAAGTTCCACAGTTCTGGTTTAGGGGAACGTTAGAGCCTTCTCTTTCAGGAACTTCATTGGAGAATAAATCTGAGTTCTTTAGAAGACTCTCACTAAAAAGGCAAAGTGGCAATAAGAGAAATAATTGAATTCCTTATTTTGTTTTACATAGCCAAGTTCATTACCTTTTTTTCCTTCCCTCTCTTTTTTTTCCCCTCTCTTAGCTGTCTGAGCAGTACAGATAAAAAGAACTCTCTTTGCTGGATTTAACTTCTGTGTTGTTATGTAAAGCTTGATCAAATCCTTTCGTCTTAACAGACTTAACTGGCCAACAGCAAAAGGCTCGGGATTCTGGGATTAAGATTGTATTTGGGAAGAGGACTGGTGCATTAGTGCTTTCTTTTGAACTATACAAAGAACAAAGTAAACATCAAAAGCATTAAGCCATGAGAGCGGATTGTTGACTCAATGTTGCTGCATGACAAGAGGTTAGAACTCAATAGCAGCAACTCTGTTATTGAGTGCTGTGCCGAGAGAAACGGTTTGACCAGCATTGTCTGTTACATCCACCACCTGCCTTTGATTCTGCTGCTGGGCAAGTCGCTAAATTGAAATTTCTGGATTTTCTCTTATGTGGTCAGTTGAGAGACTGATTCCTTAGATAAGAGACACCAGTGGAAACTTCAGTCTCATATTACTCTTGCTCTGTTTTCCTTCTTCCACTTTCATTAATAACACAACAATTGGGCATGCTGGATATAGATTCTTCAGTGGATTTGTTTGCATCTTGCATCCCAGCTGATTTTCCAGTGCATTTCAGAGCCTTCCACTTGGCAGATTTGGAGTACTTGTGCAATCTGCTGTGGCTGTGTGGGAATGTCTCATGCTCAAACTTCCTTCTCCCCCAGTTTCTGCACAGGAAGGAGATGCTTCACCACCCTTCACATATAAAGGAGCTCCCATTTTCTCTTCCTGGTCCCTAGCTAGAATAATGGATTATCAGAACTGAGTGGCTGGGGGTGGCTCTGGAAGAAGTCACAAAAAACTAGCACAGACATTAGGAGATATTTCCCATTTTGTGTTGGTGGAGAGGCTAAAATGGCAGGCAGGAATTGAGTGCAGGATCAAACAGCAAGTCACTCTTCTGCCGTGGAGACAAGCAGGTGGTTCAGAAAGACATCTGCTATTTGAGTGCTCAATAATGATATCTCAGTTCTTCCTCAACTTTCCTAGGCATAAGTAAGCTTCTAAGGAATTGTTCTAGAGTCCTGCATTTGTTTTCCAGAACTTTTTTCACCTCCTTTCCCTGGACCCTTTTAGAAATTTTTGCAGCTAAAACTTGTGGACCAGGAGAGCTGTCTTATCTTGACCACTCCGTGTCTTCCTGAAATGAACTGGGGTTTTCTCCGTCTTATCACTTGAGCATTTAAAAACTTCAGAAAGTTCAGCTCAGGAAGGAACTCCTGATGCAGTCCTCTGATGCAGAGTGATTATATAAAGGGGTGATTTCTTCTTGTCCCAGGACAAGCTCTTTGTGGCCCTCTGGGATACAGCTGCCTTTTGGAGTTCACAGTGAAGTCTTGAGCTTCCCCTTGATGCCTAACCTATTGTCCCAACTATTTATGCAATAATGTGATTTCTCATGTCACTGTTCTCTTGAAAAGTATGACCTAAGTATTTCTATTAATCAGAAATCTTGCATCTCTTGAGATCAATCTAGTCCTGTAGCTGTCAGAGGAGCTGCCTCTTACACTGATAGCAATCTGTTCCCTGTTTCATTTGTCAGCCAAGGGTGATGTCTTGATTATTATTCTCTCAACAGAAGACTGGAGAAGATCCAAGCCTTCCTGGTGCCTTATCTGAACATGATATCCAAAGCCCTGCTGAAAGTACTGACAGAGCTTGGCCTGAATAAGCAAACCCAATTTTTTATGTATGTTTCCTAAGACAGATGTATCTAAAGCCCTAGATGTAAGATGTTCTCTGTTCTGGTACCAGAAAGGACAAATTATTCAGGTCATCTTCTTGCCCATTAATATTAGAAAGCCCTCCAACAGAGTTCAAAGCACATGTTGTTGCTTAAAAAAAAACCTAGCAGATCTGTAAAAGAGCTACTTGTTGCACTTTTCACATATTTACAAGCCGTTATGTAATTTTTAAACCTGCAATTAAAGCATTTTGTATTCAGCAAAGCAAAAAAGTTATTCATTATATTCTTAACATTGTTATATATTTTCCAACATTTTGCTGGTGTGTGCAGTCTGTCCTGCACGTCTTCCTTCCCAGCATCTGTGGCTGAGTGGGAGCTGAGGTGTGGTTAGCAGTGCTCCAGCATGAGGAGCTGTGTTAGTTTTGACTTTAATAAGAACTGATAAGCAAACAAGGGACCAATAACAAAGAGTGAACTGGTGGTTTAAGGCTGCTGATCTTATGCCCAGCTCTGACAGCCTGCCTGGACCCCCCAGCTGCACGTGCTTCCCCCTCCACACTGATCCCAGGGTTGGGAGCACGTTGGCTTCCAGGGGGATGCTTCCCTTGGCTGGGGCTGCAGCAGCAGGGGAGGCTTGGGGGAGCATCCCTGCCCAGTGCACCCTGCAGTGGGGCTGCTGCTGTGTGAGATTACTCCCTTTCCTCTCTCTCCATTCAGGAAAGTTCCAGTGAAGGCTTTAGTTCCTGGAGTTTTCTCTAAAATTAGTAATTGGAAGAATATTTGTTGGGTTGTCAGCTCAGAGGAAGGGTGATAAGGTATGGTACTTGGGCCCAAATTGTTTATAAACTTGTCAGCAAATGAA